CACTACCAAAACGCCCGTAACTAAGAAACAAATGCTAATTCGATGATGCCGGCTAGCACACTGATTCACTATGAATGTAGGTCCCACCCCCTAGCGGCAGAAGCTCGTACTACATCCGGTTCGCCCTCTATTGATACAGTCTTGGAACTTTCTGATCACACCCCGTAATTGTTACGTCTGTTTAATGACATTGTTGTATTTTTATAAAAGCTGATTGACAAGCGGCTTTAGAATGGTTGGAAAGGGAGAGTGTTGAAGAGTTGTTGGAAATAGAGTGAGTTTCAAGCGATATGCTATTGCGGACATTGGTGGCAAGCGATAAGCAATGAGTGTGGAAAGAATAGAGCTGTGAATCGGGCGTAAGAGAAGTGTGCCGTGAGAGCCGAGAGAGTAGAGCCAACGAGAGGTCTGGTGTGGCGCTGAGAAAGGACGCTTCGGCTACGTGTGAGGCACCGGGTACGTGGACCGTGGCGGCCGAGGAGCCAGCGTGTGTCCAGTGGGGTGCTACGGACAGATGTGTAAGCGAAGAGTATGAAGAGCGCCGAACTCGAGGAACCAGATAGACTCGGAGGACAGAGTGTGCGTGTGTGCAGAGAACAGAGACACGAAGTGTGTTGTTGTGGTATAGAGTTGACTGTATGTGCAGACCTCTGTAACTGATTTAATTTGACGTGAATGAATCAGGGTTGACAATCCAGGTCGCAACGCCGACCCACGTTACAATATGTTATAAATGTATGTTTTATGTATAAATGTATGAAGTCTCTGGGCAAACATTCTTTGCCCGTAGCTTTACACAGAGGCGTGGAGGAGGGTTATCGACTGTGATTTAATATAAAACGTGTTCAGATTATAGAAAACATGTAATGTATAAAACTGTTGGACGAATTTGTATGTATTGAGTAAAAAAAATATTTATTTTTGTCGAATGGCCTAGGAACACAAGCGTACTGTCTCATATTTGAATTTCTCACAGCAGTGAAGATGTGGTTGCTTACAAAATCATACAGGGATAATGCCGATCCTTTTATTCTTTAATAAATAACACATGACACAGAACAGTAGGATATATATATGTGCATAAACAAGATATTGAGAACAAACTGACCTCGCACATACAGAGGAAATAAGGTTCTTTAGGTAGGCTACCTAAAAGCACTTATAATACGTTAAAACTTCGCATACCGTGTGGTGTATTAGAATATAGAAATAAGCATACAAACAAACTGTTTACGCTATAATTGACACTAGTGAAAAACGCGTTTCGACCTCAAGAGGTCATCATCAGTGGCAAACAGGGGGAAATTAATTCATATAATCTCAAAAAATGTGGTTTTAAACAGATTATGAAGTTAATAATAGTGAGTTCTTTAAAAAACTATAATAAGTAACACTTCACTGGATGAAGATTTCTGTCTTCTGGGTGTTGCGCTGTGTAGTCTGGTCTATGTGTACCAACGTTTCAGAGGTCATACTGCCTCCATCAGCAGGGCGATGAGTATGAAGATTTCTGTCTTCTGGGTGTTGCGCTGTGTAGTCTGGTCTATGTGTACCAACGTTTCAGAGGTCATACTGCCTCCATCAGCAGGGCGATGAGTATGAAGATTTCTGTCTTCTGGGTGTTGCGCTGTGTAGTCTGGTCTATGTGTACCAACGTTTCAGAGGTCATACTGCCTCCATCAGCAGGGCGATGAGTATGAAGATTTCTGTCTTCTGGGTGTTGCGCTGTGTAGTCTGGTCTATGTGTACCAACGTTTCAGAGGTCATACTGCCTCCATCAGCAGGGCGATGAGTATGAAGATTTCTGTCTTCTGGGTGTTGCGCTGTGTAGTCTGGTCTATGTGTACCAACGTTTCAGAGGTCATACTGCCTCCATCAGCAGGGCGATGAGTATGAAGATTTCTGTCTTCTGGGTGTTGCGCTGTGTAGTCTGGTCTATGTGTACCAACGTTTCAGAGGTCATACTGCCTCCATCAGCAGGGCGATGAGTATGAAGATTTCTGTCTTCTGGGTGTTGCGCTGTGTAGTCTGGTCTATGTGTACCAACGTTTCAGAGGTCATACTGCCTCCATCAGCAGGGCGATGAGTATGAAGATTTCTGTCTTCTGGGTGTTGCGCTGTGTAGTCTGGTCTATGTGTACCAACGTTTCAGAGGTCATACTGCCTCCGTCATCAGGGTCTGCGGCGAGCCGAGGTTGCGTCGTCTGTGCCTGTGAACTCTAACGAAGCTCAGTGAACATGTATGGGGAGGCTACTGATCCCTGCATTCAAAGATTCTAAGCCTTTACTCATCGCCCTGATGATATAGGCACCATGGGTCTCTGAAACGTTGATAATCTTCTACCAGACTACACGGCGCTACATCCCAGAATATAGCCGCCGTCTACCTCTAGTCTGGTTGTAAGACGACCACAAAGCTATCAGTGTTCATCAGTGTTTCATTGCTTAGCTACAGATTAATGCAAAAGCTGTAAATATGTGACATCACAGTGGTAAATCATAGAAAGTGCATGTACTGTCACATACTTTCTCTTTCAGAACCCGAATTTATTTATTTCAGTAGATTTGCGCGTGTTTCAGTTAAGAAGTTAGAGCAGAGGGGTGTGTGTAAGTCTGAAACAATTTAATTCAGCATACCAGATTCTAAGAAGAGCCCGGGAGAAAAAAAGACACTATAACTTCTTATTTCTCGCATGAAGTGAGGCGTAAATGGATATCATACCGAGATCACTTGACCGCAGCTGTTCTGGCGCAAAAGCAATGAGAGTGTGTTAGGACAAATGGTAGGGGAACAAATGATACGAGGTTGACAGTGTTACAAACGTCACAGGAAGTCGGAGGACAAAGTGACGGCGTTTCCCAGCCATTTATTATTATTATCGTGTATATTATATCTAGTTTGTGACTTAAGAACGGTGAATAGATATCTTCATCATTAAATTACAGTCCGAAAATTCCGATCCTGAGTTTAGTTAATTTTCGCTGACAGAATTAGATTACCTAAACGTTTGTGTATTCATGCTTTAATGCCATTTGTAAGTAGAAACAAAATAAATGTACAAAAAATTAATACACAAAACATGCACCCTCGCTTTTGGTTTGTCATTTAACTTACCAACAAGGTATTTTATCTTTTCTTTTATTAATTAGGCGTACAAGTCTTTCATCATACTCGAATTGGAAACGGGAAAGAGCAGCATATGGTAGTTTTTGACAAAACGTGGCAAGTTTTGTAAGGAAGTACAAGTGTCGCCATGTTATTTTTTCGACATCAATTTCTGAACGCACATTTTCTAATATACTTAATAACTGTTGTTGCTTCTGATAAGAGATGGTTCCAAAAATCAATCGGTAAAGGACGAAACATCAGCTTGGAGAATTCGACACGGCAACCGTACAATATCCAGAAACCGGAGGTAAGTTAATCAAACTCAACCTAACCTAACCTAACCCAATCTAACGTTATATTTTCCTGGTGACAAGTTTCATGTTGAGGAACTTCAGACTTTCCAAGTGGCTGACAGAATTATTTTAAATAATTAATCGCTTCCTTAATAACTAACCCTCAAATGACGACAGACTATACGTGTATATAGTGAATTTATTAAGTACATAAACAGCTGTTACCTCTCTCAACTAATGCGTATTTCACTTTGTGGCCAGATATAACTACTTTCTATGTACAACTAACATAAAAGTACATTTTATGACGGTCTTTGAAAAATCTTATATTCCATTCATAATATTTCAATTTTACAATGGAAATATGAAAGACGTCATTGCTTTCAACGATACTAATGAATACGAGTATCATACATTGTTCTGACACTGCAGTTCCCAATATTCAACTACCGCAGTAGCTGAAGAATGTAACAGTCAAAGTTGTAGTAAATTTGCGAAAGATTCCATACTCAACGAATGCAATGTTTATAGAACCTTAACATACGCACATTTAGGCTTTAACACAAACGCAATGCGTAATTAATTTTGGGTGTCCTTCTTTGCTTATTTCCCTCGATTTTCCTTTTTCTTTCTGAAACAAATTTCTTGTGTTGTCACGGCATGCTGTTGAAATAGCTTAAGAAAATCACGACGGTCCCAATTCACGACATCAGGTTCTACTGGAGGGGATTCAAACTGGTTACCAGCCAGGTAGCAGTCTGACACTGTGTTAGCCCTACAGGATGACGATTTATATCCAAATGTGGCCTGAAGCAGAAGAACCAACTCCGTGGTGCAGGGTTCTCCTTGAGAAGCTAACGCCCTCTCAGTCAAAAAATTCTCCGCTTTTCATGGAATCTGAAGGTTTATTGCCGTGTTCTCTGGTGCTCGTCACTGGTTTCTATCCTGAGCTAGATAAAACCAGTTCTCACCCTCGCACCTAAACAAAGCCTTATTCCCGCAAATGGCCTCTTCCACTCAGGTGTTCATTGTATTTCTCCATTGCTTCCCTCTCATAGGCCCAAATATTGTCCTCAACACTGTATTCCCAGGCACACTGAATCAGAGAGAGAGAGAGGGGACTTTCACTCATATAATCTGCAAGTAAAATGATAGCTTTCTAACTCGCAATTTCAAATGACAGACTGGGAAGCAAGGTTCTGAAGTGAATTTTAGGAAGAATTCCCAGAATTTAATCTGTTCTTATTTCATAGCGAAATTAAATTTTCTGTTGGTGTCATTCTCAAATATTTGGAATGTGCCACATTTGTCAAGGATTTTTTAGCAGACTAATGACTAAATCCAAAAAAGTTCAGTGTTTCACTTCAATGCAATTTTGAGTACTTCCTCTGTGTAGAACTTGCGCGTATGAATTTTGGAACTGATTATAAAAACACGGATTAAAAATATTCAAAGCAATATGTTAATCACTGAGTGTAGTGTATCACTGAATGAAACAATTGTCTGACTGCTGGATATTAAACGTAACCTAACTTGTAGAAATGTATTGCCTGGCATGGGCGGGGATTTTTCTCATCACCACCTCCAGACAAACTCTAGTGCCCTACCCCATTCAGTGGTCTGTTTATACATGAAATGGCTGGACTGTGAAGTTGAATTTTACAATTATACATTTTTGGCATTAACATGATTCATTTTATTTACTTTAAATTTGTAATTAAGGAGTTTACTGTTCCAGCTGAAGCTACATTTTACAAAGAAATTGAATGAGATGCAGTCATTGGCTGAATTATCAACTCTCTTGATGCAAGGTGATCGCCGTTTCTGTGCACACACAACGCTCACGATTCTGGAGGGACTGAATGGCACAGACAAACACGACAGTAAAATCACTCAATTGCAGGCAAGTCAATTGAATATGTTTTGACGTGTAAACCAGCACCAATACTTCATCTAGAAGAGTATTATCATGAAAAATTAAATATCAAACTTTCAGTGTTTCCTTTACACATAAAATAAAAATAATATTTTCATTGGTATGACAATTAACACACCAAAATAATTGATAAACATTACAAAATACTGATGATGGATTTTAGTAGAAACATGTATGCAAAACATAAATAAATTATTGATTAATTGTGATAAATTATAATTATTCATCTCTGAGGGCTGTACTGACTCATTTTCACTTTAGCCTCTGAGAAGGCCTTATTTAAAGGGGGCCATGGGAGTATGGATTAATAAAATATCTTGAATGACATGAATAAAAGTGGTTTCAAAAGTCTTGAGAATTTTTTTCAAGCCAAAGAAAAGTATCTTACATGTTTCAGAATTTCTTTTGTTACTGCCTTTGGCACTACCCTTCCAAGTAATTATACTTTTATGTTACTAAATTCATATATTCCTTACTGAATGGAAGTTTTTATAGACTTTATATTTCAAATTTTAGGGGTCCACAGTGGCGGCGCGGTCTGAGGCGTGGGCCTTGTGCCGCTTGGTCGCTGGGACCGTGGGTTCGAATCCCACTCCAGCCATGGATGTTTGTCTGCGTTTTTCTGTGTTGTGCTGTCCTGTGTAAAGGTAGAGGCCTTGCGACGGGCCGATCCCTCGTCCAAGGAGTCCTGCCGAATGTCTATAGATCGAACTAACGAAAAAGTTGGGACCCGTAAAAGGGTACTGGAAAATGTACAAACATTGTTAAACTGGAAATAGAAGAAGATATTTCAAATTTTATTAATGTAATTAATGACCACTACTGATGTTTCCATATGTTTTTCTTAACTTTAAAAGAACATACTGCTTCACAGTTTATGAGAGTCTTTTCTGCATTTATCTTTCATTACAAAACAGAATTTTCATGTGTCAACAACGGTTGCTATACTTGCAGGATCACATGTCAAAGCTGAAGAACTACTGTGCACAAATCAAAAGAGGAAGAGCAGCATCAGTGCAAGGTGAGACAAGATAGAAATGTTAAAATCAATTTAATTTCTTCAGTTCTATTCATTTGTTCATCCTACAAAATTTTAATTATGTTGTCATTTACTGAATAGGGTCACAGAGAATTTTCTCTTGATCACTGCCTTCAGACAGCTATGGGCCCCACCTGTTCTTCTATAAGTAGGCACTGGGGGCACCTTCCCCAGCTGGGGTATGAAGCTAACCACCCATCTTCATTTAGTGCTGAAGTTAAGAATGCATGCCAACCTTGACGGGTACATTCCTGAAAAGCACCACAATTGGCAAGGCCAAGGTCATATAGGAAATCAGGGGTTAGGGGAAAATTGGCCGCAATTAATAACCGTCAATGCCTAAGGTGAAATACGGTTGAAAATCAACCACACCTTATGTCCATACAAAATGATACGCACATTAGAAAAAACACAAAAAAGTGTCAGAAAGTGGCATAACATCCTGATAACCCGAAAGCTAGAAAACCACTTTCAGATGTCATCACAGCACCACGGACCTTACAGTTAGGAAACCATAATTTTTTGTACACAAATTAAAAATCACAACTGTCAGAACTGGATCAAAAAGGGGAAACCACAGACAATTGGAATCCATAATTAATGAGGAATTGCTACACACTGAAACTCAAAAGCACATAGTAACATAACTTCATCATTTACCTTGACGCTGTGTTGATGCTATGAGAATTACAGGTCTGAAACTACACGAAATAACAGAAATGAATGCTGCTCTGCTGGAAGCTAAGAAAGCAGCCTGCAAGCCAAGAACCATTTTAAAGGAACTTCCTCCAGCTCCATTTGGATCATCATACTACCCTCAGTACGTCACTGTGAAGCAATGTGATGGCTGCTGCAACAGTGCTTTGCTGAAATGTACTCCTGTAAAAATAACCAATGTCACAAAATGGGTAAGAGCCAACAATTATGATGAATTTAAATAAATATAAGTTTTTGGGACATACTGAGTTGGTTCCATGTCACCACATCATAAAGCATCATTAAGATGTAGATGGATGAAATAGCCTCCAGACATGAAAGGCAGCTTTCAAGACTACATAATATTGATTAAAAAGTTGTGGATAGCCCATAATGTGTGGGAGGGTGGGCAAATAACAAGCAAGCCCTTGCCATACAACTAGCATGTTACAAATCTATAAACTTGAAGCCTTTTGTAAAAAACAATGAGCTTTATTGTTCCATAAAAAACCTAAAATGTCTTGACCAAGTGAGAAACTATTAGCTATTCAAGACAGACTCTGGTCCAAGGAATTAATTAGTTATATTTATAAGTCAGCATTAGTGTAATCCATACAAGAATAAATAGTTTCAAAATGTGTTCTCTGCAAATTTTGAAATCTAAATGCACCTAACCCAACCTTAACTAACCTACCCAACATCACACAACCTAAACTGCCATAGTCCAACCTAACCTAACACTTCCTCACCCAACCTAATCCAGACAGCAGCTCAGCCCCATCTGCTGGGCTCCACCTCACAAGGCACATCTACATCTCTTTGCCCTCTGTCCCACCTATTAGGCTCTGCCTGACAAATGCACTGCCATCACTATTGGGGGCTCCGCCCTTCCACAGGGACTCTGCCCTGTCCAACAATTTACCCTCACATAGGAGTTTGCTCCCAGCATCGCCCTAATGATGGAGGCATCAAGGACCTCTGAAACGTCGGTAAACCTCTACCAGACTACATGGTACAACAACCCAGACAGCCATCTTCATTGTCATTATCATGCTCTTTATAGGGTTTCTCCGCATGTCTTCATTTTGGGTTTTCCAAAATTGTTCTGTTTCTTATTTTGCTACTAATTAAGGATTTGATCTTTACAAATTTTTTAGGTTCCTATAGAGCTGTGTTTGATTAATTTTAAAAAGTTTGTTCTGTATCTTCCTATTATAACCTGTCGTATCTTTCAGTCTCTTTGCTGTCGCATTTGGCTACTTCTTCATGTTGGCGAGACTGCTTCTGAACGTAAATAGAAGTTTAGGTTTGTGGTGGAAGCTGATGTAGTGTGTAATAATATTGGAAGAGTATAAAAATCACTGAAAAATATAATCTCAAGAATTATTCATTATAGTAATCTTGTGGAATCTACGTGTGCCATACACACATTGGTACCTCACGAAAGAACTATTCAGAATGTCCCAGAAAGATATATACGCATTATATTACGGGATTATTGGCGCTGTTCGTCAGCCGTGTGGGGATGAGGACATGTGCTTTCAACAAGATGGGCCATCCCTACGTTACCATTGTGATGTCAGGTCCTATCTTGATAACACTTTCCTGACTGATGTATAGGACGCAGAGGATCGATCTGTTGAGTACTCATCACGTTCGCCAGATATAGCCTTACCTGATTTGGTGGCCGTTTGTCAGTCAGCTGCTTACTGCTGTCGACAGTGACTCAAAGATAATGGTGATTATTTTGAACACCAATGCTGGATTTTATAATTCAGTAAGTGCCAAAGCTGACGTATATAGAAGTTGATATTCCATTGAGTGTGTTTTTCATCTTTTTCTTGCATATTTTACTTTTGTTCTTGTTTTTTTTTTATTTTTGGTGACCTATTTCCTTTAAGCTAATTAATACAGACTGGTATTATTGGATTCAGCATAGCTTTGCAGATTTCAAAACTCGCTTTATATCATATTATTATTTTATTTGTTTGTGTACTATTTTGTACTGCATGTATGTTTATGGATGTCAGAGTCTCATGATTTTTAAGATTATTTTTCAATGTCATCTGTAGCTTGATTAGAGCATCATGTAGAAGATTTAATATGTTGTTGCTTCATTGCCTGTATCATATTATTTGCAAGTATTTTTATATGTGGTTTCTTAATTATTTTTGAGGGGCAGAAGCATTGCATGAAGTTTGCGAATAATCAGAAAAATATTAAGAAGAGGAAATATACTATACTGAAGGATATAATTGACACAGATAACATAAACTTGAACTTCATTATTATTTTTATCTGAAAATAAACTGACACTTTGGTAACAATATTTGTCACATACCTTGTTAGATAACTAATGTACTGTTTTGTTTACTTTAAGGTCATGAATTTTGTAATGTCAAGAAATAAGTATAAAAGCACCCAGTCTTTCCAAATGGAACAACATGAAAAGTGTAAATGTGGCTGTAAGGTAAGAATCAAAGACTTCTTGGCTTTCCAGGTTCATATTCAGCCAGCTAAAACTCCATCTGATAAACAGATAGAGCTTGAGGTCTGTACATAAAGTTATGATGAAAAATAGATTTTCTCATGATTTATGTCATTTCCACCTAGTCATCACAAATATTACAACTTACTGTTTATATGTAGATAAGTGATGACTTAAAATTTCAAAAGGAAATGTAGAATGGTAAAGAGTGCAATAAATACAGATTTCTCACAGGTTCTTCAGTCAGGTCAGCATATCAACTTTTATCAAACACCAATCATTTGTATAGGTAGAACTAGATATGTTACAATTTATGTATTTTTATTTATGATATGTGACAATAAATAATAAAAACTGAATGAAAACATTAAGAAGAAACTTATAGATATATAATCCAAAGTATCTGTAGCTGCAACTCATGGCTTACTCGGCACATTGTTTTTTGTGGGCTGCATTGGAAGTGAGTCCAAACACAGTCCACAGTTTCATCACACACAGAGGGCCAACCAGGACCTTGCATTTGTAAATGCACCCTTTCTGCTCAAATTTCTTTTATAAGGCATAAATGGATACTTGGCTGGGTGGTTCCATGTGAAATACACATTGCATAGCTGTTACAGACTCTTTGCTAACTGAAAAACACACCAACTCGTCTGTTGAGGGTTAGCCACTTTCAAAACTACTGGCTTCTAGCAGAGGCACACAACAATGACAACAACCATCACTAAGGTCATTTGAAACAAAACTTTGAGAGATTTTCTGTTAACTGTGTGGGTGTGAAATTCTAATTATGCCACATTTGTTTTCTGTATTATTTTGAAAGTGTGAAGTTCTTTTGTGCTCATTTCATATAAACAGCAATTGGGCCCATTTCTCCTCATTACATTAGTTTTTTTAATTGTGAAGTATATCTTCAGCAGCAAGCTGAGAAATAAAATAATTAGATGTTCATTTGATTATTTCATTTATGAAAATATTAGAATCCATAAAAACAACTTTTTCAGGTACCTATGTGAAAGCTATTATGCTGTGGCTCTTAAAATTTATCTTCATATCTAAAAAAATTTAGTCTTTTGTCTGAACATCTTTTTCAGATTCCTTCCCCCAAAAATATTGTGATTGTGTGTTATGGTATGTTCTTGTATCTTCCCTAAAGAGACATTTTCTTCTTCTCATAGCATGATGCTACTCCAACAAAGATCAGGTATGATAGTCTGGATTAAGCAAATATAAAATTTGTTTATCAGTAACTTTTGTTCGAAACAATTTTAGCTTCGATACATACCTAACAATTAAAATAACAACTTTACATCCACATTTAACATTCAGAGGGAACAACAGTACATCAAGTTACACCAACAAACCTAAGATTTTGAACAGAGTTGAAAGGTAGCTTCTGCACAGACCATTATTAAATACCATTCCAGCATTTCAAAGATGCAAAGGTCTCACTTTTCATGCTAAGATTAAAAATGTATTAGCAATTGAATAAAGATGTCTCATCAGCATTTGATATACCTATTGGACTGTGCTTTTATTAACAATGAAGAGGATTTCAATGTTTTAAAGTAACAGCAAGGAAATTTAGACTTTCTGAAATACATACAGGGAACAGGCTGTTTATATATTATAACATTTACTTTATCTTCCACATCTCCTGTAATAATGGCATGATGTAGAGGATCTTATGATTAATAATATTGTTGCAGCATGCAACTTAATACCTTTGAGGCAGAGAATAAAAAAATTAAATAATGAAATTTACAGTTTAAGCTTCTTCTAAAGAGTGAAACGTGGGAATCTATTTATAAGGACAATGATACCAACAATAACTATTACTCATTTTTGTTTACTTCTCTAAATATATTTTAAGTTAGCTTTACAATTAAATATAAACATATAGGCAAAGTAAAAAATTACTGGATTATACAAGGAATAAACATATCTTGCAAACATACAAGGATTCTATATATCTGTGAAAGGAATAGTAATGACCCAAACACGAGCGTTTTACATTAAGTATTGTAAAACCCTGAGCAATGTTTTAAAAGAGGCTAAAAATTACTGTAGATTTGTAACAGAATCAGATAATAATATAAAACATGTAATATAGCAAAACTGGAAAGAGGAAACTACATTAAATGTGTAAATCATGACATTTTATTTACTAAATTACATTTTATGGCATTCAAGGAATCACTGGAAAATGGTTCAAATCCTGCCTAACAGATAGAAAACAAAAAGTTCAAATTCAATTATCTAAGAACAATTAGAATTTTTTTCAAGCTGGGGAACAATGAATCATGCAATTTCCAAAAGGCCAACTTTAGGGCCCTTTCTTTTCATAATATACATAAATGACCTTCCTGCAATAATAAATACTATATCAGAACCAATATTTGTTGATGACACAAGTGTCATAATTTTTAGTAAAAAATGTTGATTTCTGTGCAGTGTTAAAACATTGTTCTCTCTCATATGAGTAAATGGTTTATTGCTGACAAGCTGGCCCTATATCAAAATAAAACAAATATAATAAAATTTATAACAAATAACATCACAATATACTTTAAGTATTGGTTGTAATGGAAAGTATATAGAGGAGACATTAAATACAAAATTTGTGAGTTTGAAAATTGATAAACCACATAAATTGGTCAAATCATATTGATAAACTGATTCTTAAGTTAAGTGTAGTATGTTATGCAGTTAGATTTATTGTTTCGTGTCAGTGTCACTGACATGCTCAGATAATTTTATTTGACTTATTTTCACTCTGTAATGAAGTATGGAATTTTTGGGGGTAATTCATTTAACAGCAAAAATATCTTTATTTAAAAAAGAAAATTATTAGATGAATGGCTGGTGTCAAACCTAGAAATTCATGGATAAGTCTAATTAAGACTTTAGAGATCTTAGATATTCCATGTGAATACATATTCCCATTAATGTGTTTCACTGTGAATAACCAAGAAAATTTTCAGACTAATTCCACTATACACAATGTCAAGACTAGAAACTTCACAGACCAGTTGTCAACCTTTCATGTTTTCAGAAGAGTGAATATTATTCTGGCACGTCTTGAAATATATTTGTTAATTTCCCAAAGAAAGGACAGCTCAGTCCATGTGTAATTGTTTACAAAATAAATGTTCTCTGCACACATTAAACATTTAGATTTTTTTTTTTATATATATCTTAATTGCGTCATGTTTGTGTTTTATTGATACAATATTTTATTTTCCGTCTATACACAACATTATTTTAAGTTTGTGTATAGACGGAAAATAAAATATTGTATGAAACATTTAGATGTTTCTGGAAGGGACCAGTGATATGTTTTTATATATAAGTTTTTGTTCACTTTTGCAGACTCTAGCAAGTC